ATGAACTAGAGACAGGAGAAGTCAAGCAAAGCCTACGCATCAAACAGACCAGGGAATTAAGCAAGGACTGCTGATACGGTTGTTGCTTATTTAAAGCTCAAGCTTGTGGCCTAAATCACTGTGATTTTTTTTTTTTTTTTCAGTAGCTTTAGGGGTTTGGTTTACATGGATGAATTGTATAGTGGTGAAGCTATCTGGGTTTTAAGTGCACCTGTCACCCAACTAGTGTACATTGTACCCATTAGATAATTTTTCACCCCTTATCCTGCTTCCCTCTCCTCCCACTGAGTCTCTAATGTCCATTATACCATTCTGTATGTCTGCAGGCACATAGTTTAGCTCTCACTTATAAGTAAAAATACGTGGTATTTGCTTCACTTAGGATAATGGTCTTCAACTCCATTCAAGTTACTGCAAAGATATTATTTCATTCTTTTTGTATGGCTGAATAGTATTTCGTGTGTGTCTGTGTGTGTGTGTGTGTGTGTGTGTGTGTGTGTGTGTGTGTGTGTGGCATTTTCTTTATTCACTGGTTGATGGGAACAGGTTAATTCTACATCTTTGCAATTGTCGTAAATTCTTCGTCTACACATGAAAGTACTCTTCAGTGAGCTAGGATACATTCATAGCATGACATGGTTGGGTGTTGTATTGACTTGCTAAGACAGCCATAAGGAAAAACATCACAAACTTGGTGGCTTAAACAACATAAATGAATTGTCTTACAGTTATGCAAGTGAGAAGTTTGAGATCAAGGTGTGGGTAAGGTTGTTTCTTCCTTATGGCTGTGAGGAAGAATCTGCTCCCCTGGCTTCTAATAATTTGCTGGCAATCTTTGGCATTTCTTAGCTTATAGAAGCCTCGCCCAACCTCTGCCTTCATCTCCAACTAGTGTTCCTCCTGTGTGTATGTCCATCTCCAAATTTTTCCTTTTTATAAGGACAAAAGTAATATCGTATTAGGACTTACCTTAGTGACCTCATTTTAACTTGAGTATCTCTGTAAAGACTATATCTCTACATAAGGATACATCTGAGGTACTGGAGAAAAAAAGACTTCAACATATGAATGTTTGAAGAACATGATTCAACACACAAGGATGACATTTTTAAAAAGGCATATACCTTTGTATCATGGTTTTAAAAGAAAAATAGACATTCCCTAACTGAATTGCTTTCTTTATAAAAGGTATGTACCATATTGGTTTGTAAAAACAATAAAATAAAAAATAAAAGAGACTCAGAAGTAACCCAGTAGCTCACAATGAAGAATGCTTTTTTAGGTTTAATAAAAAATGGTTATTTTCTAACTCGTGGGATTTTGCATGGAGACTGGTTAGAAGAAGATGCCTTATAAAATGGCACTATACAAACTTTCTACAGATTGAGTCTTTCCTGCAGCTCTAGCACCCAATCTTCCCACCACTCTCTTAGTTGAATATTTTTATCCTCATTTACAAATGAGAAATTAAGCCTCAGCTAGGTGAAATACATTACTCTAGGCTACATTTGGTAAGTCACTGGGCTGAAGTTTGCAATCAGACTGCTCTGACCACATACCATTACACGTCTACCCAAAGTAATTTTACGAGAGTCCCAGTTGAAGACCAAGTGCTCACATTTACATTAGATCCAAAAGATGCTGCTCAGCACACTGTCCAAAGAGGCAGTTAGTCTCTGGAGGGAGCAACTGTATCACCTACAATGCCCTGGCCTACAAGATTGCTCAACATAATAGATGCTCAATAAATAAAATCTCAGTGACGTCACCAAGGAACTGTAAGTTCTCTGACATCAGACTAATTGCTTTTCATATGGTAGCATTTTCCCCAAAAGGGAAGTCTGAGTGCAGGCTCTAGAAATATTCTTTCCATGAGCTTCTCCTACCCAACTGCCTGCTACAAATGCCTACTGGCCCACTGGAGAGGACTTTCTCATGAAGATGTGACTGTCGGAGTTAAATGATGCCATCTTCCATCTCATCCTCTGCTGATTCTGTTCCATTACATTATTCAGTTTGTTGGGAAACTGCTTTTCATCTGAAGGTTTAGATTGAAGCAATAGATGGGGTAAAAAAAAAAGAATGAACTAGTGGACTTTCTGCCCAAAAACGTAATTTTCACTACCTCCACAGATGAAATAAATCATTTTGTCAATTTTCTTGGAGAGTTCTGGAAGTTAGAAGCTAAAAGTTGATAACTTAATAGAAACGTTTGTAACCCGAGCAAGACAAACAGACACAACTTCAAAGGCCTACTCCAATAAAATGCTGAGGAGCAAGACAGCCTGGTTTGTTCTCCCCTAGATTCTCATCAGTTACAAACTCCACTAGCAAGTGGAGTTATTTCAAAAGCAACAGCCTTGTTTCCTGAGTGATATGCACTCAGGAACTTTATATCTAGAAAGCAGAGTTTCTACAGTGGGGCATCTGGGTCAGACTTGGAATTACAGAGCACATGGCTGAGGCCAAACATTTCCCGCGACTCAGACCATTTCCTCCTTCATCTGCCCTTAGTTATTTCTTTGCATCCTCTTTTTCCTCGGCTCCATTTTTGCTGAGCACTCTCTTGCTTTATTCCCGATGAAAATCGAAGACCTGGTGCTCTGAAAAATTCTAAAACTGGCACTTTTACTTTTTCTTAAAAGGATAAAAATGGCATCAATCAACACCTCCCTCCCTGAGCCCCTCCTCCCAGCACACACATCCTCATCTTCCTGGGAGTTGATGGAGTCTCCTAGAGGGTTGTGTAAGGAGTGGAGATGGCAACGAAGATCCAGGTTTGCAGAGACACCTGTCAAGTTGGAGGTACCAGCTGCCCTCTGCAGCCCCTGGGAAATAGTACTCACAGCGTGAGACCCCAGTGATCTGGAAATGGGGCGGGGGGCGCGGGAGGGCAGAACTTTCAGACAGCCTGAGTCCTGGTTCAAAGTGGGTGAAGGTGCCCAAAGCCCAGCTCCGGGAATCGGGCAGACTGAAAACCTGGAGAGTAACTTGGCCATTAGAAAATGATTATCATGATCAAATGAATGCTTTGAACACAGCTTTAATGAAGTGCGCCACGCTAACGTAGGTCAGGCTCGGGACACTGAGGTGGGCCGGGGTTCTCGCGTGCATGTCCCCCCCCCCCCGCTTCCGCCGCCCCCACCCCCACGCTGAGTTGTCATTGAGACCCCCAGCGCCTCCGAGGAGGGTAACGGGACGGACTAGACGCTGAATCTTTGGAGTCTTGCTCTGGTTCCGAGGCAGAGACTTACTTAGACCAGTCTGTGAGATCCCAAGAGACAGGATCGAGTCCAAGTGAGTCCCCAGCGAGGCGAGGCGCGCCAGAAGGAATCTAAGCATTCAATTAGCTACCCCCTCCACGTGCACACACACCAAAGGAAAGGGCACTCACACAAGCAACCCCCAAATCGTTTGATCAGAGGAAATTGGTTTTGTCCTTTCCCCCCTTTTACCCTTCCTGCCTTTCAATCCATCAGGATTGTTGGTTAAAAAAAAAAAAAAAAAAAAAAGGCATAAAATCGAGGGCGGGGCAGAGTAGCCGACCGAGCTGCCCTTGAGAGCCCGGGCCGCGCCGGGGTGAACTTCCACCGGCACTATCCCGCCTGCCGCTCAGCCC